AGTTCTGTTCTAGTTCTGTTCTAGTTCTGTTCTAGTTCTGTTCTAGTTCTGTTCTAGTTCTGTTCTAGTTCTGTTCTAGTTCTGTTCTAGTTCTGTTCTAATTCTGTTCTAGTTCTCTTCTAGTTCTATTCCAGTTCTGTTCTAGTTCTGTTCTAGTTCTGTTCTAGTTCTGTTCTAGTTCTGTTCTAGTTCTGTTCTAGTTCTGTTCTAGTTCTGTTCTAGTTCTGTTCTAGTTCTGTTCTAGTTCTGTTCTAGTTCTGTTCTAGTCTGTTCTAGTCTGTTCTAGTTCTGTTCTAGTTCTGTTCTAGTTCTGTTCTAGTTCTGTTCTAGTTCTGTTCTAGTTCTGTTCTAGTTCTGTTCTAGTTCTGCTCTAGTTCTGTTCTAGTTCTGTTCTAGTTCTGTTCTAGTTCTGTTCTAGTTCTTTTCTAGTTCTGTCTAGCTCTGTTCTAGTTCAGTTCTAGTTCTATTCTAGTTCTGTTCTAGTTCTGTTCTAGTTCTATTCTAGTTCTGTTCTAGTTCTGTTCTGTTCTAGTTCTGTTCTGTTCTAGTTCTGTTCTAGTTCTGCTCTTGTTTTGTTCTAGTTCTGTTGTAGTTATGTTCTAGTTCTGTTCTAGTTCTGTTTTAGTTCTACTTCTGTTCTAGTTATGTTCTAGTTATGTTCAAGTTCTGTTCTAGTTCTGTTCTAGTTCTGTTCTAGTTCTTTTCCAGTTCATTTCCAGTTCAGCTTTTAGATGCTGGTTCATACTTTATACAATTTTAATGAAATTATTTAAATAATTAATACACTTCAAAAATCCTTGTTAAGTTTTAACCTTTCATTTTAGCTTAAATTAGCTAAAATTTACAATTTGTTCACACTCTACTTGCGGTAATTTTGAAAAAAACAAGACAAAATTAAAATTACATGCTTTTAGGCGCATGGTTGAATATGTGTAAACAAACATTATCATATGCTTGTTTGTATTGTAAAAAGGGACTTATTTAGTAAGTATATATATTTTTCGTCGCCCTTCATCTCTCTCAAGTAGGATTTTTTTGTTTACTTTAATATATGTACATATATACACATGTATGTATATTTTTTCATGATTTTGTTATTTTAATAATATGCAGAGCAAATTGTTGTTTCTTCAATGGTTTTGTTATTTTTGTTGAAATATTTAAAAAAAAAAAACTAAAGAGGATATTGGAACACGTGTATATTATGATGGATTCATTTACATACATTACATTTTATCTAAGAAAAATCTCCAAAATTTTTAAAAATTATTAAGTTAAAAATTTGTTTACCATAAATTATAATTTTTTTCAAAATTTCCAAAATCTTTCTATTTGAAAACAGGAGGACAATATCGTTAACATATGTCCTCTTTATAATAATGATTATTAGTACCAGTATTGTGTTAATTTAAACATTTTTATAACTGACAAATATTAACAGTCACTTGCAAATTGCTGTGATACCACAATATTTGCAAGTTAAAATGCTGCAAAAATAATTGAACAAAAAAATTATTTTGAATATTTTAAAGGATTATATAAAAAACTACAATAAGAGATATTTTATTATAGAGGCTTCTGATAAAATAAGACATTTTATTATAAAGGGCTTAAATATTCATTGAAAAATACAAATTTAATTAAAAGTTTTAAACCATTAAGAATTATGTTTTCTTTTAATTAAACTTATAGATGTATATTTTTACATTTAAGTTACCTATAATCCAACCCAATTATTAATTAATAAACCTTGCTCACTTCAGAAAACGTAAAAAACGAGCTACTTATAGTAAAATATATATTTTTTAATTAATTATATGTTTTGCTATTCTGCATTTTCATATTAGTTTGGAATATAATGTAAAGGGTAGACATTTGGTTTCTTTATATTTCACAATAATGAATAAACAATATTCTGAGCAAAACTGTTTAAACCATTGAGATGAAATAATTGATAATAAATACGAGAAGTTCTGGAAAACACCCAGAACCGCTGGGAAAGTGGATTCTATGTAAACGTGTGTTTTTGTCTAAATGTCATTAGCCTTGAATTGTTTTCTAATACAAATAAACTTGTCAACAGAATGTTTTGTTATTGAACTTTGTTAAATATTTTAATCGGGAATGGAAGGAAAGGTAGGAGCCTTGAAATATGGTGTACTATTGCGTGATATTACCTTATAAGTATTTGATATTGAAACGCATTTTGAAAAAAAAATATGGAAAATTTTCAATAAAATAGAAAGGCAGAACGAACGAAACGAACGAAAGAACGAAACGAAAAAACGAACGAACGAACGAACGAAAACGAACGAACGAACGAACGAACGAAGAACGAACGAACGAACGAACGAACGAACGAACGAACGAACGAACGAAGAACGAACGAACGAACGAACGAACGAACGCGAACGAACAAAGAACGAACGAACGAACGAACGAACGAACGAACGAACGAACGAACGAAGAACGAACGAACGAACGAACGAACGAACGAACGAAACGAACGAACGAACGAACGAACGAACGAAACGAACGAACGAACGAACGAACGAACGAACGAAGACGAACGAACGAACGAACGAAAACGAACGAACGAACGAACGAAACGAACAACGAACGAACGACGAACGAACGAACGAACGAACGAAAGAACGAAAAGAACGAACGAAAACGAACGAACGAACGAACGAACGAACGAACAACGAACGAACGAACGAACAACGAACTAACGAACGAACGAACGAAACGAACGAACGAACGAACGAACGAACGAAACGAAAACGAAAGAACGAACGAACGAACGAAAAGAACGAAGAAACGAACTAACGAACGAACAACGAACGAACGAACGAACGAAAGAACGAACGAACGAACGAACGAACGAACGAACGAACGAACGAACGAACGAACGAACGAACGAACGAACGAACGAACGAAACTAACGAAAACTAACGAACGAACGAACGAAAACGAACGAACGAACGAACGAACGAACGAACGAACAACTAACGAACGAACGAACGAACGAACGAACGAACGAACGAACGAACGAACGAACGAACGAACGAACGAACGACAAACACGAACTAACGAACGAACGAACGAACGAAACGAACGAACGAAACGAACGAAACGAACGAACGAACGAACGAAACGAACGAACAACGAACGAACGAACGAAACGAACGAACGAACGAACGAACGAAACGAAGAACTAACGAACGAACGAAACGAACGAACGAACAACGAACTACACTAACTAACTAACGTAACCTAACTAATAATAACTAACTAACTAACTAACGAACGAACGAACTAACTAACTAACTAAAACTAACTAACTAACGAACTAACTAACTAACTAAACTAAACTAACTAACTAACTAACTAACTAACTAACCTAACTAACTACTAACACTAACTAACTAAACTAACTAACTACTACTGAACGAACTAACTAACTAACGAACGAACTAACTAACCTAACTAACTAACTAACTAACAACTAACTAACTAACTAACAACTAACTAACTAACTAACGAACTAACTAACTAACCTAACTAACTAACTAACTAACTACATAACTTAACTAACTAACTAACTAACTAACTAACTAACTAACTACTAACTACTAATAACTAACTAACTAACTAACTAACTAACTAACTAACTAACTACACAACTAACTAACTAACTAACGAACTAACTAACTAACTAACTAACTATAGTCGCGTTCTATAGGGAATCGTCCCCTAAAATCTAGCTGTTGTTTTCATTAGTTTTACAACTACAGGACGTGTGAATTATATTAATTACAGGGTTGGGTACAAATACTTTTAAAGAATTGTATTTCCTTTAATAATTTACACACAGGCCGACAAATTTTTAGCCCAGACACCAAAGAATATTAGTCTTAAGGAGTTGGGCCTATTTGGCCCTTTTTGAGACGTTATAACAGCACCAAGACACCTTCATTTATTAAGTGTTGTATGTCGTCTACAAGTACATTCTGTCAGCTTTAAAATAAACATCTGAGATATCTTCCTTATTTTTCGAGATATCAGCACATAAAGCTTGATACAACAATAAATTGACAAAATCAGAATTTTTTCATACATTTCGCCTATATTTTACGAAAAACTTATACATTGAAATTTTCAAAAATTTGGTCTATAAAAATAGTTGCTGGCATATCATCGGTTGAAGTTGACGGGTGGACAGATATCGTCAAATCAAATAAGAAAGTGTTTTTGAGTCGATTGATACATCCGTTTTCTCGTTATAAACAATATTTACATAATACCCTTCTCACTGTAGTAAAGTAGGTTATAAAAACCACAAATATGCTGAAAGCCCTGTGTTATTCGGTTTATATAGGAAGGAGAAAGATAATATTTCAGATGTTAAGCCTTCTTTTTAAAGCTGACAAAAAGGAATTTCATATGATATAGAACATTATATAAATAAGGTTGTCTTTAAAATATCAGGACATCTCGAATCTCAAATGCGATGGAGAAAATCTGAATCAGATTCGGATTCAGCGTGGCTCAGTTCTTTAGAAAAGTATTAAATAGTCTCAGGCTTTAGACTTTTTCAAAATTTGTAGGCCCGTGTTATTATTTTAAAATAATTAAGATCACAGAGTAAAATGCTGACTAAATATACATATATGTACATATGCTGGAATCTATCGATCGAACTATAATTGACAAATATTATATTCTCTGTAAAATTCAGTAAGAACAATATTTAGAATAATGAGTAAATAAATACGTATGTAAATATTAACAAAAAAGCAACTCATTCTTAATAATTTAAAAAAATTTATGTTAAATTCATTGGTAAAACTCTAAAAAAATAAAATAGAAATAACAATTAAAATATAAATGGAAAACAAAAAACCACAATACTTAATAATAACAATAATAATTAAAATAATAAAAACCAAACAAAAACTCATTTATTTCCTAAAAACAATAAAACATTTCAACAAAAGCCATCAGACCAACATGACAGAAAACAAAGATAAAATTAGTGACAAGGATAAAGAAAAGAAAAATGAACCTGAAATGGAAAAAGAACAGGAAAAGCAGTCACAGCAACAACAACTTCAAACACAAATCGCACAAAAAGAGCAGCAACATAAAACAGAACAACATGACAGGTAAGTTGTTTAATTTCAATTTAAATTTAAAAAAAGAATTTGGACAACTTGTGTAAATAATTGTTATAAATACCAAGATAAATACAAAATCTTGTTTTAAAATATTTGTATAAAAAATAATCATCTCTACAAAAAAATTCTGTAAATTTCACATATTGAACTACAAGACGTATAATTGTTATTTAAAACAATTACATATGACGTATACGTACCATTAAACCGAAATTCTAATTAAATGTACAAATTGTATGAAGATTATTTTGTACGCAAATCACGACATTCGCATTGCAATTATGAATTGTACACAAAACATACAACTATAAAAACTTCATTCAAAATACATCAAGTTATTCAACCATGATTATACAATTTATTAATTATATCCTGTGTGAACTAACTACATAATATATTACATGACATAATGACAGTTTAACAACCACAAATTAATCTATAATTAGTAACGTACACATTCCGGCTTTTTGTTTTTCTTTCTTTACAATTTTGTCTTAAATTTCACACTAAAAGCCACCAAATACGCAAACATATTTTCAGGGTTTCCATTTAATAATTTTTGGTCATATGTTTTTTCTATAAAAATCCACTTTATATTCTCAAACATTTCTAAAATTTTACTTTAGATTGTCTCAACAGGATTTTATGCTTTATATTAAACTTGTCCCTATAAATATGCATGATTATTTGTTGTCTATGTCTGAGTCCTTTAATAATATGTTGTTATGTCTGCTATACAAATACTAATGGCAACAACACATTTGCTGACAGAAAATCATTTGTTAACATCTCTAAGCAATATCTTGAAGCAACAAGTTGGTACAAACAATAAAATTAAAAAATAAAAATTAAAATAAGGCAGAAAATTATAGTCAGAGTCTAGTAAGAGTCTAGTCATAGTCTAGTCATAGTCTAGTCATAGTCTAGTCATAGTCTAGTCATAGTCTAGTCATAGTCTAGTCATAGTCTAGTCATAGTCTAGTCATAGTCTAGTCATAGTCTAGTCATAGTCTAGTCATAGTCTAGTCAGTCTAGTCATAGTCTAGTCATAGTCTAGTCATAGTCTAGTCATAGTCTAGTCATAGTCTAGTCATAGTCTAGTCATAGTCTAGTCATAGTCTAGTCATAGTCTAGTCATAGTCTAGTCATAGTCTAGTCATAGTCTAGTCATAGTCTAGTCATAGTCTAGTCATAGTCTAGTCATAGTCTAGTCATAGTCTAGTAGTCTAGTCATAGTCTAGTCATAGTCTAGTCATAGTCTAGTCATAGTCTAGTCATAGTCTAGTCATAGTCTAGTCATAGTCTAGTCATAGTCTAGTCATAGTCTAGTCATAGTCTAGTCATAGTCTAGTCATAGTCTAGTCATAGTCTAGTCATAGTCTGTCTAGTCCTAGTCATAGTCTAGTCATAGTCTAGTCCATAGTCTAGTCCATAGTCCTAGTCATAGTCTAGTCATAGTCTAGTCATAGTCTAGTCATAGTACTAGTCATAGTCTAGTCATAGTCTAGTCATAGTCTAGTCATAGTCTAGTCATAGTCTAGTCATAGTCTAGTCATAGTCTAGTCAATAGTCTAGTCATAGTCTAGTCATAGTCTAGTCATAGTCTAGTCATAGTCTAGTCATAGTCTAGTCATAGTCTAGTCATAGCTATTAGTCATAGTCTTAGTCATAGTCTAGTCATAGTCTAGTCATAGTCTAGTCATAGTCTAGTCATAGTCTAGTCATAGTCATAGTCTAGTCATAGTCTAGTCATAGTCTAGTCATAGTCTAGTCATAGTCTAGTCATAGTCTAGTCATAGTCTAGTCATAGTCTAGTCATAGTCTAGTCATAGTCTAGTCATAGTCTAGTCATAGTCTAGTCATAGTCTAGTCATAGTCTAGTCATAGTCTAGTCATAGTCTAGTCATAGTCTAGTCTAGTCATAGTCTAGTCTAGTCATAGTCTAGTCTAGTCTAGTCTAGTCATAGTCTAGTCATAGTCTAGTCATAGTCTAGGCATAGTCTAGTCATAGTCTAGTCATAGTCTAGTCATAGTCTAGTCATAGTCTAGTCATAGACTAGTATTATTTTACAGCATTTAAAATTATTATATGAATTGGGCGTATGAGTGCTTTGAATAATTAAATATCACTCATACTACCATGCATTAAAAATTAAGTTTTTAACCTTTTTAAAGAATAATTAAAATTTATTAAATTATTCTTTAAAGTATGTTTTATTAGTCTTAATAAGATCTTAGTGAAGCCACAAATTAAATTATTTCCTAATATGTGTTTCAACTTTGTACCAATAAACAATTCCGTATTCTTATAAAATCGTTAAGCAATTCAACACAATTTTAGTTTAATGCATTAATGTTTTTCGTAGAAAAAGAAAAGAATTTTATTACTTTTGCTTTAATATTAAGTAAATTAGCTTAGCTGGTTAAAGAATTAAATGACATATTACGAAATTAGTTATTAAATATAGTAAGATAAAGACTGTGAACTAAACAATAAACTATATTGTGAACTTAACTAGAAACACTGTTTTCTCTGTTTAAACTCTAATTTAATTTAATTGTGATATAATATCATAAATATGTTTAATTATTGACTAAAATATGTGCTGAAAACACTAATTAAAATAAATTATTACATAATAAAAGAAATAAAGAACATTTTAATGTGATATTAAGACGGTATTTACAAACATCGTGAACAAAGTTAGATAAGTGGAGTAAGAGTATACAAAATAAATATCAATCGTTTCCAAAATTCAAAACGTGCCACCATATTTCCAGTGTAAAACACAAAAATTTAAATTTACTTGTTTTGTTTTAGAGATTTCTGTTTACATGTACGCATTTTTGTACCAAACTAAAACTTTTAAATTGTGCAGCTCGTTTTATAAACATTTTAAAGCATGTTTCAGGTCATGATTTCTGTTTACCAAAGGTGTTTAACTTTTGGAAATCGTAAAATCTAGTAAAATGTGTTTTGTTCCAAAGCAATACACGTAAACAGAAATCACGAGCTTCATAACTTTAAAGAAATATAAGGACATAAAATTTGATATGGCAGCAATTCACGTGTAAAAACTTGCAATTTATTCTTTGCGTTTGGTAAAAAATATGCCATAATAAACATTTAAAATTTATATCATTGACGTCATTCTCTACATAGGAATCGGAAAAATTTGGTGCAATGCTGATAAGAATAGTTTGTTTAAATGTTTTAATTCTATAAGACTATAAAATAAAATGTGGTTGGACTATGGCTATAGAATATACTATGACTAGGACTAGATTAGGACTAGACTAGGACTAGACTAGGACTAGGACTAGACTAGGACTAGACTAGGACTAGACTAGGACTAGACTAGGACTAGACTAGGACTAGACTAGGACTAGACTAGGACTAGACTAGGACTAGACTAGGACTAGACTAGGACTAGACTAGGACTAGACTAGGACTAGACTAGGACTAGACTAGGACTAGACTAGGACTAGACTAGGACTAGACTAGGACTAGACTAGGACTAGACTAGGACTAGACTAGGACTAGACTAGGACTAGACTAGGACTAGACTAGGACTAGACTAGGACTAGACTAGGACTAGACTAGGACTAGACTATGACTAGACTAGACTAGACTAGGACTAGACTAGGACTAGACTAGGACTAGACTAGGACTAGACTAGGACTAGACTAGGACTAGACTAGGACTAGGACTAGACTAGGACTAGACTAGGACTAGACTAGGACTAGACTAGGACTAGACTAGGACTAGACTAGGACTAGACTAGGACTAGACTAGGACTAGACTAGGACTAGACTAGGACTAGACTAGGACTAGACTAGGACTAGACTAGGACTAGACTAGGACTAGACTAGGACTAGACTAGGACTAGACTAGGACTAGACTAGACTAGACTAGACTAGGACTAGACTAGACTATGACTAGACTATGACTAGACTATGACTAGACTATGACTAGACTATGACTAGACTATGACTAGACTATGACTAGACTATGACTAGACTATGACTAGACTATGACTAGACTATGACTAGACTATGACTAGACTATGACTAGACTATGACTAGACTATGACTAGACTATGACTAGACTATGACTAGACTATGACTAGACTATGACTAGACTATGACTAGACTATGACTAGACTATGACTAGACTATGACTAGACTATGACTAGACTATGACTAGACTATGACTAGACTATGACTAGACTATGACTAGACTATGACTAGACTATGACTAGACTATAGACTATGACTAGACTATGACTAGACTAGGACTAGACTATGACTAGACTATGACTAGACTATGACTAGACTATGACTAGACTAGACTAGACTATGACTAGACTATGACTAGACTATGACTAGACTATGACTAGACTATGACTAGACTATGACTAGACTATGACTAGACTATGACTAGACTATGACTAGACTATGACTAGACTATGACTAGACTATGACTAGACTATGACTAGACTAGACTAGACTAGACTAGGCTATGACTAAACTATAGACCAGACTATAGACTAAACTATAGACTAGACTGTAGACTAGACTATGGACTAGACTATAGGCTAGACTATAGGCTAGATATGCTAATTTGTATAATTTCATATTTGTATTTAATAAAATAAAATCCAAAATTTCAAGGTCTAATAGCAAAATTTATTCAAATTAGTTTAAAAAGGACTAAATAAATATGCGCAATATTCATTATATTAGACATAATTACTGATATTTACATTAGATTGTATCCTTAAGAAATTTTGAGACAATTTAACTCTTAATCCGTCTCAGGGTAGACAGGATAATATGTTACTTTATAAATATGCATGATTATTTGTTGTGTATGTATGTGTCCCTTAATAATATGTTGTTATGTCTGCCTTACAAATAACAATGACACGAAAACATTTTTTTTTCTAGAAGAAAAAATGTCAATTATTAAATCATAACCTTTAAAA